TACTGGCTGCAATTTAAATTTGAATTTAAATTGATGAAAATAGAATACAATTGCAAACTCAGTTTTGTTTTATTTTTCCCCCCATACAAATCAATTTTTAAACATTTCAGCTTGCCACCAGCTTCCAGCTCCAGTTCCTCTAAATGCCCCAGGTTGAGCTATCCATCTAGTGCACAGAGGTGACCCAGTTGCTGATCTCTTAATCTGCATCTGTCCATGGCAGCATGTTGGTGGATTCTCTAGTACTAGTGCATATCTGCTCAATGCTGAAGCCAGAACCCTGGTGCCAAGGTGGAGGTGGGAGAGCAGGTATCCCTCCCTTGAAGTTTAAGTGGAACAGTAGCCAGGGAGGTTCCTGCACTTACTCCCAGAGGTACAGGGGCACATTGCCGGTGCTTACTAGCCACATGTGACCACGGTGGACAGTGCGGTTGGAACACCGCCATCGCTTTTGGAACTTCTGGTGGGCAGTGCTGATGTAAGGTGGACTTGCCATTGTCACTTCCACATCACTGTTTGAGTTATCATTTCTCACCTGAACTGTCCATACAGCCCTTGATTCACCTCCTTTATCTTTTCACTCCAGCCCATTCTCCTCTCTGATCAAATGATGTTTATAAAACCCTGTTCTCCCTTTGGGAGTCATCTATAATAATAAAAGCATACTATGCTAATTAGACCAAACAGCTGAACGACCTTCCAGACATCCTTCCGGACGAAGCCGTAGTGGCGGGGGCCTAGGCAGAGGCAGTTAGGGGCGATCAGGCAGGCAGGCAAACAGTTGGGGGCAATCAGGCAGGCAGGCAGAGTGGTTAGGGGCAATGAGGCAGGCAGGCCTTAGGGGTGATGAGGCAGGCAGGCAGAGTGGTTAGGGGCAATGAGGCAGGCAGGCCTTAGGGGTGATGAGGCAGGCAGGCAGAGTGGTTAGGGGCAAGCAGGCAGGCAGGCGAGCAGTTAGGAGCCAGCTGTCCCAGATTGCGAGAGGGTGCAGGCCAGACTGAGGGAACCCCCCCCCCTCCATGCACTGATTTCATGCACTGGGCCTCTAGTTAAGGTATAAATGGGAGGAGCAGAGTTCTAGCATTTTAATGTCGGTCCCAGATTGTGAGAGGGTGCAGGCCAGACTGAGGGAAACCCCCCCCCCCATGCACTGATTTCATGCGCTGGGCCTCTAGTTAAGATATAAATGGGAAGAGCAGAGTTCCAGCATTTTAATGTCATTTCCTTACATGAACTCTTCAGAGCCTCCCTTGTTACCCTTTTCTTTTTATTTGCTTATTGAACAACTACTCAACCTTCAAGATGGAATCCTAGTGTTTGCTGCTGTGGGAATGCAGAGGCGATGTACCTTCTATACTGTGACATCCCTGTAGGTTCCCCTTTCAGAGCACGGTTCATATCATAATGTTTGGCTGGACTGTGAGCCCCTGAAATATAAGAAACTTACCTTCATACTCTACCAGGTTTCCAATGTATGTAACAGATTAACTTCTCTTCTGGCATCTAGATAGATACTGGCTATGTGCTAACTTTAGGAGGAATAAACAAACAGCCTTTCAAATCGCGCTCTGTGTTCTGTTGTTGAAGAACTCCAAGGTTGTAAAGGGTGATGGGGACTTTCCCACAAATATCGAATCCTAGCTTCAGGGTAGCTGTGGTTCCTCCCTACCCCCTGACTCCAAGCCACATATGTTATAGAGAGAAAAATACAGCGTGGGGCAAACGTAGGTTTACAGCTGTTCGTATGGAAAATGATACAATAATTAATACATAATAACACAGGAATAAACTCTGTGTCTTGCTTACAACTGTAAACCTACTTTTACTCCACCCTATTTTCTCTAATAAAATACCTTCAATATAAGGTGGGTATATTAGTTCATTACTTCAAACATAAAACAACAGATGCGCATTCTCTCACAGCTCAGAATCCACAAAATCAGGGCTGTCCTCCCAGAGGCTCTAAGAGAGATTCCTTCCTGCCTCCTCCAGCCTCTGGCCACTCCTGGTGTTCTTACCTTGACCTTCACATGACCTTGACCTTCACATGACCTTCATCTTCACCCAACCTTCTTCCCTGGGTCTGTTTCAAATCTCCCCCTCCTTTTCCGTGTGAGGACCCCAGTCATTAGATTTAGGGCCTGCACCATATTCAAAATGAGCTCATCTTGAGTTTCTTAACTTAATGACATCTACAAGGACCGTATTTCAAAATAAGGTCATATTCATAGGTACCTGGGGGTTAGAACCCGGACATATCTTTTAGGGGAACACACTCCAACCTGTGATATGTGAGTATAAAAGTGAGGGTCTAACAGCTGTGTTTCCTCCCTTCCTGAGCCTTACCTAGGCTGACCCAGCCAACTCTAGCCTTCATTTCTGTGCATTGAAATAAAAAAACACACACACACACACACACACACACACACACACACACACACACACACACACCCCTCCAGAGCCCAAATCAAGAAGGGAGAAAAGGCTGTTTAACTCAGCCAGTTCTCTCTCTTTTCATGACAGAGTCATCCCACTCACCTAGGCTGGATTTTTTTCACTGCCTAACAATGATCATTACATAATAAAGCATAGACCAAAATAAACATGTTTATCATCCTCTAGTTCTCAAAGACATTCTTCGGGTCCAACGCTTTTAAATGAAAATGGATATTTAGATGTAGGGATTACTTTAAGATGCATGCCTGCGCACTAGTACGCCGTGGAAAAAGACTCGGAGTAAATGTCTCTGTAGAGTAAGAAAGAACATGGTGCTTTCTCTGTTTTCATTTTTTCAGTGTCATCTAAAGTCTCCATAGTGAACACGTTTTGTTTTAGTGATAAGAAGGAGAAACATTTTTTAAAACATGGGAAGTTTTAATGAAGTTTTTATAAATTGCCCAGGACAGTTTGTATTTTTTTTAAAAGCAAGATGAGCGGGCCAATTGGGGTTCTTGGCACAGATCACTGATTGTGTTGTGAGTGACTCATGCTTTAGTGATAAGAAGGAGAAATATTTTTTAAAACATGGGAAGTTTTAATGAAGTTTTTATAAATTGCCCAGGACAGTTTGTATTTTTTAAAAAGCAAGATGAGTGGGCCAATTGAGGTTCTTGGCACAGATCACTGATTTTGTTGCGAGTGACTCGGACACTCTTTAGATTGTGGAGTGGTGTTAACATTGTTGTTATTCAGGGCCTCATAGACTTCCACAGCAATAGAAATTGAAATCCATGGTCTTCATTAGGGAGGTTTCCCTAGTGCCGGGTAGCAGGCCTGAGCGGGGAACGGGCCCTCTCCCTTCACCATAGCGTGCAATGAGGCATCCACACTACCCCCATTCTTGGTTTGTAGGGCACATTTCATAATGAGCCCTGTATCTCTCACCAGCAACACCATTCTGCTTTGACAGGCGTGTGTTCTCTGGTCTTTAACTCTTTTCAGGTCAGCCCTGTGTCTCGTGCGTTACTATCGAATGCAATTTGCTCCCAGGGAATTTTCCTATTTGGCTTCTAACATGGTAATGAATTATTGAAATTTCAATTACTTTTGGTTCCCAATTTAGCTGGATGGAGACATCCAAAGTACTTAATATGAAAGCTTTTCAGTCGATTTTAGAGAAGGGTTTGCCTCTCAGGGTTTGGCTCCAGGGCCACAGGATCAGTTCTGCTCCTCCTGCCTCTGGGACTAAAGGGCTGGTGGCCCTGGAAGTGCCTCAGGCCAGTGCTGCCAAGGACGTGGGCCCCTTCCCGGGAGCATCTGACCTCCTGAGAGCTTGTTGGATGTGCGGGCTCCTGGGCTTTCTCCGCATCTGCTCAGTCAGAACCCCCAGGGGGATGCTGTGTTTTCACCAGCCCTGGACATCTGGTGCACCTACAAGTTTGGGAAGCCCTGCCTTCGATATCCTGGTGCTAATTCTTCCCAGCAGGGCCTGTGACCCATTTGCTAAAGCCTGTCACCCTTTTGCAAGGGCCTGTGGGTGCTGCAGTCAGTTTGCCCTTTAAGATAGACGCTGTACACAGTGACAAAGCTGTGATCCAGGTCATCTGAAAGACCAGTTTCTACAGTCTTCACTTACTCATCACTGAACCGTCACCATAGAGAAGCAGGATTTGAACATTTAAATTCTGTGCAGGTAAATGTGTGTTCTAAGTATCCTTCAGAGGTCCCTGTTGTTCATTTTCATACAAAAGCACTATTTAGATATTCCTTCCCACTGCCCCAGGGATAAGCCCATCTTGAAGGTGCCACCTCTGTCTCCACCTTAGCCTCGCCTCCTTGCCAGTTCGCATCTCTCTTCTACCTGCAGTTCTTCAAACGCAGCGCGTCAGCATAATGCCTGTGCTCGTGTGTAGGCTGTTTCCCCTGCCCCACTCACCCACGCCACCGCCAAAGCCAGCCCTGTCCACCTGTCAGACTGCTGAGTACCACTCCCTCCTGAACCCATCTCTGATCATCTCAGATGGAGGCATACCCTTCCCCTTCTCTGCTTCCTACACCACTTGACACGGACGTTTATAGCCCGCAGTGTGCACTGTGTTGAATTTATTAGTCTCCCTCCTCGGAGCTCGGAGCTCCATGAGAGTGGAGATTCCATCCTGGCTCCTCGTCTGCAGTGCCCGGCACAGCGTCAGGCACATAAGGAATAGACTTCCTTAGAGAGGATTGCTCTACCTCTGCTGGCAGCTTCCAGTGCCTTAGACAACATGCCCCTCTTGTATTTGTGGAACACAGATGATGGCCATGGCAGGTCTAATGAAGAATACAGTGATACCTTAAAAAAGAGAGATAACATTAAAAGAGCCAATTATATATTTTTTAAAAAGAACACAGTGACACGAATATGGACTCAACCAACTTAGCTTGTCAGTGAAGCTGATTCTATAATGTAGATCAGTGTCCTACATTCACTATCTGGCCAGGGAATCCACCCACTGTGTCTAAAGGCATTATTAATTAATTTATTATTATTATTATTATTATTATTATTATTATTATTTCAGGTGCGAGAGCTTCAGACCCGACTGCAGAGCGTGCAGGCCACAGGGCCCTCCAGCCCCGGCCGCCTCACTTCCACCAACCGCCCCGTTAACCCCAGCACCGGGGAGCTGAGCACGAGCAGCAGCAGCAATGACATCCCCATCGCCAAGGTGAGCTTCTGGGGGCAGCGCACCTCCTGTTATCTGGAGGCACCAGCCTGTACCGAGGTGGCCACTGTGCAGGTCTGTGATGAGCTCAGATGCCCTAGGGGCTTCCCCAGGGTCCCACACAAGCCTCCCACGCTGGAGCTGCAGGGAGAGATAACCCACTAGTCGTTTTAAGTCTCTCTGACCTGCAACCTGGACTCCAGCTCCCATTAATCAGCCAGCTGGAGCATGTCACCACTGACAGTTCACTGTGGAGAGGGAGATGTTTGTCAGGTTCTACAACACTAAAGAATGGATGGAGAGCTGCTCACGAGGACTAAGGTTCAGCCCAGGAGGGGACCCTACGTGATGAACCACGGTCTCCCCACTCATAGGACTGCCAGCGCTGCCAGCAGGAAAATAGGTTAGGATGGGCGGCCACGGTCGCTGTGAGAAGTAGTCCCTCCCACTCTCTGCCACAGCTCTAGGCTCATATGTTGAGTCCATCCTAGAGAGACTGTTCCAACTGTACCCTTCCTCTTCCCCAGTCGCCAGCCAGTCTCCACAAGAAGATCAGTCTCAACCATCAAGTTGTGTGCTTTAGGTCAAAACAGTGTTTCTCAACCAGAAGTGATTTTGTCCCCCAAGGGATAGTTGGCAGTATCTGGAGACAAATTTGATGGTCACAACTGGAGTGCTGCTGGTATCTTGTGACTAGAAGCCAGAGATGCTGATAAACATCCTACAATGCACAGAACAGCCCCCACCACAAAGAGCACCCAGCCCAAAATGTCAGCGGTGCTAGGGTTGAAAAACCCTGGGTTAAATGGATGGTAGAAAAATTGGACAAGTGAGTTGTTTTTTGAACCACAGACAGGGGTGAACCTGAGGAAGGGTGGTGAAGGATTAAAGAAGACAGACAAGAGAATGCAGTGGGGCCAGGTAGGATCACTGTGCCTGGATGAGGAAACAGTGACCCAGCCTGTAAGCCCAAGCTTTATTTTATAGTCAGATCACACAAAGCAAAACAAGGGGAGAGGTCAACATGTTTACAATGTTCTTGTGAGTTTCAAACCTATTTCGTTACTCAAGCCTTGTTTTGGCAGCACTTGCTGCACCTCCCACAGCTTATTAGCTACCTAGGAATAAGGGAGGACTATAAGGTCAAGCTTAATTGTGCTAGGAGGGCTCTGCCCTTCAAGCTGAGACTTGTATGTGGCTCTGCCACAGGTCAGTCTGAGCCTTGACCCTATAGCCGCTCCCTACAGTTTTTAAGATATTAATCAGTTTAGTTACCATTGGTTAACCAGTATGCCGATATAAACTATGTGAACAGTTTATCTAGGGAATGACTTGTCCTTTTTTTGATAGTTTGTTGTTTTGCTTTTTAAGATTGCTGAGAGGGTGAAGCTATCCAAGACCAGGTCTGAATCTTCATCGTCTGATCGGCCCGTCCTGGGCTCAGAAATCAGCAGCATCGGGGTGAGTGTCCATGAGAAGCAAGGCCAGAACGTTCCCAATAGAGCTGCACAGACAATGGTTTAGAGATCATGGAGGAACTTCCAAAGTTCACTTCCAGTGAACCAGTTAATTATAATAATAAATTACGATTTCCTCCCAGAGTAGGATTAAAATATACAGTGGTTTCCACATGGTGAATTACTTCTTCAGCTTTAAGGGAGACTTTTTTTCTCAACTTGAAACTGTTCAGAAAGAAATGGTTTAAGTCTAGTTGCTGGTGATGTATGTGAAAGTCTGGAACTGTTTGCTTTCTATCAGCCTGCTCCCCAGAGACTGAGCCGGGAAGCCCTAAAAGAACTTCACCTTTTGCACATCCCCTTGGAAGGCAGTGCCCTCTCTAGTGGGGACAAACGCTGCCTTTGAAGTGAAGCCCAGTGCTCTGACAGACGAGGACCCTCTAGCCCAGCACCAGAGTGCTCATTTGTAGAACCTGCCAGCCCCCGGGGCTAGGCTGATGGATGGTGGAAAGGCAGCGGTTCAGGTTCCCTGAGGGATACATTTTAGGATTGGGGATGAAGTTAGGAGAGCCAGCTGTTAGATCCTCAGGGGTGGAGAGAGTCTGAATAGCACTTTTAAGGCCCTAATTTAGAATACTACGCTGAGCAAAATTTGCATGCATCCAGATTCCATGCCAAATTTAAATTGTGAAATTAAAGGAGTCGGCCACTCTCCATGGCTATAGCAGCCAGGGACAAGGGCCTGGAGTGGCAGGGGTTAAGGAAGGGGGAAGAGAGTCCACACTCTGCTCAGTATCCAAAACGTGAGGGACTCTCAGGGGGCATTATCCCCGCAGCAAGCATGTGAAGGATGCAGCTGTGTTTTGGTCCTGTATCTGTATTGCTTTCACAGCACGTAGTTAGCTTTCTGCACTAGAACCATATACAAACCGAGAAAGATCAGGGTAACCATCTCCTGGGGCCTGATCCTCAGGAATAAAAGCTTTAAATAGTTTTGCATGCAAAGCATGCCTGGGGGTCAGGGTTCCTGAAGTGACACTGTCCCAACGGGGATTCATGCTCACCTGTACAGGTATCCAGCAGCGTGGCGGAACACCTGGCCCACTCTCTTCAGGACTGCTCCAACATCCAAGAGATCTTCCAAACTCTCTACTCACATGGATCTGCCATCTCCGAAAGCAAAATTAGAGAGTTTGAGGTGGAAACGGAACGGTTGAACAGGTAAAGGGAAACCTGTATACTTGCATGATGGTGGGAGCTGCCCCTTTGCAAAGATCGATTGAAGTGGCCTTGTGTATTGTGGCTCTGTGATGCTGTCAGGCTGGTGGGTGGGAGTTCTACCACCTTGCTCATCACAGGAGCGCTTACAGAAAGCAGGCGGGGCTGGCTTCACAGGTGGGAGACCTGAGACTCAAATGTGTGGGGCCTTGTACTCAGAAGGACCCCACACTTGCTTTACTGCTCTGCTCTCACTGTTTTAAATTCTTTATATATATATATACACATACACACACACACACACACACACACACAAACATACATACTAGAGGCCCAGTGCGTGAAATTTGTGCACTGGTGGGGGAGGGTGTCCCTCAGCCCAGCCTGCACCCTCTCCAATCTGGAACCCCTCGGGGGATGTCCGACTGCCGGTTAAGGCCCAATCAGGCCTAAACCGGCAGTCGGACATCCCTCTCACAATTCGGGGCTGCTGGTTCCCAACCACTCACCTGCTGCCTGCCTGATTGTCCCTAACCGCTTTTGCCTGCCAGCCTGATTGCCCCCTAACCGCTCCCCTGCTGGCCTGATCAATGCCTAACTGCTCCCTGCCAGCCTGATCGCCCCCAACTGCCCTCCCTCCCCTGCAGGCCTGGTCACTCCCAACTGCTCTCCCCTGCTGGCCATCTTGTGGCAGCCATCTTGTGACGACATGGGGCGACCATCTTGTGCAAGGGCATGACTGTCAATTTGCATATTACCACTTTATTATATTGGACTAGAGCAGTGGTTCTCAACCTGTGGGTCGCGACCCCTTTGGCGGTCGAACGACCCTTTCACAGGGGACACCTAAGACCATCCTGCATATCAGATATTTACATTATGATTCATAACAGTAGCAACATTACAGTTATGAAGTAGCAACGAAAATAATTTTATGGTTGGGGGTCACCACAATATGAGGAACTGTATTTAAAGGGCCAGAAGGTTGAGAACCACTGGATTAGAGGCTCAGTGCACAAATTCGTGCATGGGTGTGGTCCGACCGGCCCGGCCCCACTTGGCGGATCAGGGCCAGGCCTGTCAGGACAAGATGGCGTGAGGTTGGCTGGCCGGCCCGCCCCAATCAGGGCCGGGCCAGCTGTGGGGAGGGGCCACAGGCGATTGGCTGGCAGACCCCACCCCTGATTGGGGTTGGGGGGCCAATTGGGGGCAGAGCCAGCCATGGGGAGGGACTGTGGGTGGTGGGCCAGCTAGCCCCGCCCCCAAATGGGGGTGCTGATTGGGTGTCAGTGGCTGCGGGGGGAGCTGTGGGAGGTTGGCCGGCCAGTCCCACCCCCGAATCGGCTGGTTCACTGGCTGCAGTGGGCATGATAGTGACCGGTCGTTCTGGTCATTACGGCATTCCGATCAGGCTTTTTATATATATATAGATTTTTTTATTGATTTCAGAGAGGAAAGGAGAGAGAGAGAGAGAGAAAGAGAGAGAGAGAGAGAGAGGAGAGAGAGAGAGAGAGAGAGAGAAACATCAATGATGAGAGAGAATCATTGATTGGCTGTCCCTGCACTCCCCACAGTGGGGATCAAGCTCACAACCTGGGCATGTGCCTTGACCAGGAATAAAATCATGACCTCCTGGGTCATAGGTCAACGCTCAATCACTGAGCCATGCCTGCTGGGCTGTTTTAAATTTTTAATTTATGAACAAGGGGCCGGCCTTTTCATTTGGCACTGTCCATCGGAAATATGTTGTAATTCCCGGAGCATTTCATTCAGGATGACAAGTAGGTCAGAATGACAACATGGCTACCAAGCATGCAGGCCTGTGCTGCCGAGAACCACAGAGAAAGTTCTGGAATGTTGAGTCAGCATCCCAGAGGCACCAGGAGCCAGCCATGGCAATCTGATAGAGGCACTCCTGCGGTTAGCAGGGTGTGCTGGCCTAACCTCCCTGCTCTAACTGAGGGTTGCCTAATTTTACTTATGGTTTTTGCAAATGTGCACAACCCTCAGTACGTATATTCTATCTTACTTAGAACAGTTTGCCATGTACCTAGTTTTATGGATTCCTCCCAAGTCTCACGACAGAGGTCGTTTGAGTTTGCTCTCCTGCCTCTGGGCAAAGACTGGCTCATGTGTCCTTCCAGCAAAGAGATAGAGCTGCTAAAAAAAAAAAAAAAAAAAAAAAAAAAAAAAAAAAAAAAAAAAAAGCAAAGGACCAGAGCCAGACCATGGTAACCACACTGACTCAAAGTCGGTCCCGTGGTGGCAGAATGGTCTGTCGAGTCTCACCCGAGTGTGATGAGGCTGCCTCGACCTCCCAATCTTCAGTGGGAGAGCACAGTAAGAACTGGAAAGGCTTATGAGCTAACCAGGAAGAAATGCTCAGGCCCTTCCCATCCACCGTTGCTTAATACCATTCCCCTTTCGCGTGGCAAACCTGAATAAATTGAATTACTGTGTTAGTCCTCCCTGACTTGAAGCTGTTTAATATAGTGCTCGGGAACGAAGGAGATGTGGCAAATCTAGGTCATTTTAAATCTTGAAATTAAATGGTTTTCGTATTAAATCCAAAATACTTAGGAGTGGCAGTCCTGGTGATTACCTTGTAGCAGGGAAGAAGCAGCCCTCTTCGTACCCCAGGCCCGGGGGTGCTTAAAAATGGAAGCAGATGTGCCCTTTGCAATTTAATGAAGTCAGCTGCCTCAGGGGCCCTGCTTTTAGTGAGGATCTCCTCTCCACAGATTCTGGAATTTAACAAGCCTGCTTTGTAGTTGAACTTGAAGGAGGCTCCTTTCTCTTCAATGATGTGCACCTAGAAGACACCAAAGAAGGAGGGAATATTTGGTGCTGTAGCTCACATTGTTGTGGTGGTAACAGTTTACAAAGGGCTCTCACAGACAACCACTTAAATCATCACTGTGGGAGGCGCAATAGTCCCATTTTGCAAATGAGAAAACACAGGCTTCCAGGATGAGTGACTCGCCCCAGTCCAGAGCTACGAATTAGCCTCTTCAGAAACCCAAGCCCTGCCCTTTGACCTTACCTCCATTGTCCTCTCTACAGTCATAGCTACAGCTATAACATGGGAGTTCTTTAAAATAATCTAACAGTATGCCCTCACGTCTGGTATTTAGCTACGTATGGCAATGTTGGAGGCCTATTACGCTCCAAACAATGACAGCCTTTAACTTTGTGTGTGTGTGTTGGGGGGGAGAGTCATACTCCTCAAAAGTGCTTCCTCATTTAACCTACTATGTGCTAAGCTATTTGGCAGGCAAAAGAAAGTAAAACAGACACGGTCCCTGCGGTGACGGAGCTTATATTCTGTTAGGGAGCTGGACAGAAAGCAAAGGAATAGGGTCATAAGAAAGCTCCGAGTCACCAGGACCCTGTGGTAGAAGGACAGGGAGAATTGATTTTTGAGAAGTGGCCAGGGAAGGCATCTCGGAAGAGGAAATGTTTAAGTTGAGATTTTAAGAGGAAAAAGGAGCGCCCATGTAGCAAAGTAAGAAGTGTCTTATGCGCCAACTTAATCAACCTCGAGGTTGGCATGAAGTAGGAAATGTCCAGAGGCCAATGGAGCTAAAATAGAGTAAGTGAGCGGAGGAGTTACGTGAGAGAAGGAGGCAGAATAGGCAGGGCTGGGTGGGATATGGATTTTGAGGTCAAGGACAAAGTATACTCTTTATTCTAAGTGTCAGTGAACACCGTTTGATGGTGTTAAATAGGGGGGAGAACTGATCTAAATTTTGAAGGATCACTCAGGTGTGAGGAATGGAAAGGGTGGGGCCAGAGCAGAAGCAGAGAGAGTCTGCAGTGGGCCCGCATGGCCAAAACGGAGAGGATGTGAAGGGGCAGGGGCAGGATATGTTTACTGGTAAAATCAAGGGAAACTGTGTCTGGTTTAGATCTGGATCTGAGAGAAAGGGATGGTCTCAAAGATCCTCAGGTAGCTCACCTGTGTGGTTGGGTAGATGATGGAGGCATTGACTGAGCTGAGGGAGGACGAGGTTTGGGGAAAATCAAGAGTCCTACTTGGGAGTGTTAAATCTGAGGTGTCCCTGTGACAACCAAATGGAAAAATCAGTAAAGAGAAGAGAGGTCTGGGCTGGGGAAATGTGGGAGCCATGGGAATATAAATGCCTGTTAAAGCCATCGGACTGGATAAACAGCACCCCCAGGGGGACAGTGTTGACAGAGGAGGGGGTCAGGGACTGAGTCCTGAGGAAATGCCAACACTCACAGCTTTTATAGACAACAGGAGCCAGCAAAGGAGACAGAAGAAATAGCCTTTAAGGCAGGAGGAAAACCCTCAGAGACCTGCCATGGCCCAGGCGAAGGAGAAGATTTTAAGAGGAAAGAGTGGCCCATTCACGGGATGTTCCCTGAGAAGGCCTCTAAGATAGCTTTGGCCACACAGAGGTCTGGGAGCTGGAAAACAGTTTCCTCTGGTTCGTGGGGACCAAATGTATGCAGAAGCAAGCTGAAAGGTAATGAGAAAGTAGGGACTGTGTCAGGGACTGTGAACAAGGATAGAAAAGTATGTTCTTGTAACACCTTACATCAAACTGACCTTGGAGCTGCCTAAGCCTCACGGTTGTCTTAGCGTTCACTAGGCATCTCCCATGTGGGTGAGTGTCTCTGTGTTCTGTGCTCAAATATGTGGTTGTAAGATTGATTCTCAAGCCTTTTAACATGGCAAGAGTCACTTGCATTTTGAGTGTCTCTGTAAGACTTGGTGGTCAGAGCACTACAAAAGGGTGTGTCCCGGGGAAAAGAATCCTTGTACCTAGAGGGTGGGTGTCCTGGGACAGAAAACGGAGGAGCTGAAGGCTTGTGCTTTTCTGATTTTGCCATAAGCTCATCTGCTCTGAATGTGTAGTTCTGATTCCTGTAAAGCCCAGTGTCTCCACTGCTTGTCCTGCTGGGAGTTAGCAGCTGCAGGATGTCGACCTGGAAGGAGCAGTGGACACACTCCGCAGTTCCTGGTCCTCTTCCCGTTGAAGCCTGCACGGCGGTTTCTCTCTCTCACTAACTCACCTTTGCTTCTGCTCTGTAGCTAGCAGTTCAGAACACAGGCTCTGGGGTCAAACTGCCTGTTTCAAACGCCAGAACAAGGTATTTAACTTTTCTGTGCCGCCATGTCCTCCTCTGAGAAATGGAGATATAATACTTAATTCAAAGGGCGATGGAGAGGGTTACTGAGCAAGGGCTCAGCGCGTGGTCGCTATCACTATGATACAGTTTTCCATCTGTCCTCACGGAAAGTGGTTTATTGAAGTAGATAATTGAAGTGAGGCCACGCAATCAGCTCCTTTCCCTGGTACATGGTCGAAGGCTGGGTGGGAAGTAACTGGGCACTTATTCTTATTTCTAATTCACACAGTGACCCTTTTACCTACAGTCACTTCCTTTATTTGTTTCATGTCAGTTACATTTGCTAAAACTTCTGACGGGCTCACATCCTAACCTGCATTTCCAGCCTGAAGCCAGATTAGACGACTGAAATATTGGCAAATTAATTGTGATCCTCGTGTGAAATTGTGAAAGAGATTTTTCTTCCTTTGTAGCCGTATTGAACACCTCAAATCCCAAAATGACCTCCTGACCATAACCCTGGAAGAATGCAAAAGCAACGCCGAGAGGATGAGCATGCTGGTGGGCAAATATGAATCCAACGCCACAGCTCTGCGGCTGGCCCTGCAGTACAGGTGGGACGCGGAGGGGCGGGCCACTGTCACGCATTCGTAGTAACCTTCTGCATAAAGTGGAAAGCAGGCTTTTAGAGGACATCCTGGGGGGTTGGACCAGCAAATACTCGTGTGATACATATTGAAAATCAATGAGCACCCTGTCGCCATTAAGGAAACAAGAGTAATGGGTATGGTGTTAGTAAAGAAGTATGTGTCTGCCAGCACATTCAACTTAAGTGTTATTTCACTCAAGTAACGTCAATCAAAATATCAATCCTTGCATTACATATTCATTTGTTGTTCTTTTCAGTATTTATTCATAGTCATACATATTTTACGTTGTTGTAAATCTAGTGCATTCCATTTCTTCAACGTGTTACAGTTCTGTAATGTTGCTTAGGAGTCTCCATGTACTTTAGCTGGATCCCCTGCATCAGGTTTGTATATTTTTTTTTATTTGCCCATTTTTCTGAAAGACTTGTGCAGACTTTGACATTGAAAATAATTCTGTGGTGAACAATTTAATGCAGATAATATCTTCATTCTTTTTAACATTTTCCTGGGGATAAAAATACCTGAAGCAGGAATTGTAGGTCAAAGGATAAGAATATTTTCATGGCTCCTCAGGCGAGCCGCCCGTTTTTCCCATAAAAACAAGCCAGTCTGAGTAACTATGATGCATTCGCTGATGAGCAAGTAGCGTATGAATGTACCACCTCTTTTAAGCCTCATCATCTTTGGAATTTATCTACTTTGGAATGACTGCTTTTTAATAGCTACCAAGGTATGCCTGTGACTGTCTTCATAGGTTTATGTTATTAGTGTCACCACCTACGCATGCTTGCCAGGTTCCCAGCGTAGTGATTGTATCTTCCTTTTGGCATCCTCTAAAAAGCTCAATATTGTTTTAAGAAACATTGTTTCTTCAGGAAACAAAATCAAACCAAAATATACAAGAGAGCAGGTGCACTTGCTCACAGGCACACCAGAGCAAACAGGTAGCCCAGTGTGGCTAACGCCGAACCAGGCTGCTCCGCACCACAGGCTGCCTTCCATCCCCGCGTCTCTACCCTGGGAGGGGACGCTGCCAGCACCCAGGGCTCCTGACGGGGGCCCTTTTCCTTATCTCTCAGTGAAGGAAGATGAAAGGAAAGGCAATCAAAAAACAGATGGTCTGTTGAGTTAAGCAATATTTCCCCTACTCAGCGGGAAGACGCTGGTCAGTTATTTGCTTAGGGGTGGATTTTCACGGGCATCTTGTCCCAGACCACTCGGCACTATGCACGTGGCTATGGCTCCCTGTGGCTCCATGTGGGTCACCAGGGCATCATCAACAGCAATGAGAAGGGGTCACTTTTTGATCTTGGCTTTTATATATATAGATTATTATGTCACAGTTTTTAGGGTCAAGAATCTGGGAGTGATTTAGCTAGGTGGTTCTGATTCAGGGTCTTTTAAGAGGTCCTGGGAGCCGTCCACCCGGTACAGTGTGGAACTGGACTAAACAGGGGTGGACACCCACATAGGGTTGGATGACCTTTCCCTTTTGGTGGGTCACCCAAAGGGCAGCCACCTTGCCTCTCCCACATGTATTGTTCCTTCTGTTTTTCTGGATCCTGGTTTAAAGTTAGAAGGCAGAGGCACAGCATAGCAGGGCACGCATGGGCTCCGTCCAGGGTGTCTCCTCGCTGACAGGACGCGGGGCTGGAGCCGGTGGGAGCAGCGCTGCGTGAAGAGGCTGCGGTCCCCGCCCAGCCCGAGCTGAGATGCCTGTGCTCTGTTTCAGCGAGCAGTGCATAGAAGCCTACGAACTCCTGCTGGCGCTAGCCGAGAGCGAGCAGAGCCTCATCCTGGGCCAGTTCCGGGCGGCAGGCGTGGGGTCCTCCCCTGGTGAGTGTGGCCCAGCCCGTCCCTC